CCCGCCCGTCTTGACACCTCTATCTTTTGTCATGTGGAGACCTATATTCATAGAATTAAATAGATTGGGATCCAAAAACTCACTTTAAAGATTGAATACTCGTATCTTCACCCCGTAAAAGTTCAAAGAACCTAATCCAATTTTTTCTGTATTTGTTATTATTTATTTATTTGTCTATCTATACTTAACCCCTATTTGGTGTAAATTTTTTATGAAATGTGTGGTTGAAAAATTTTGTATTCCATTAATTCAGTGTTTTCAATCGAGTTAATAGTACAGAGCTAATTTTGGCACAATATTATAAAAATCAACAAACAGCAAAACAAAACAGTTACTTTTCGTCGTGTTTTTACGAGTGACATTTTTTTTCATCCGTATGACATTGTCTTAATAGGGAGGGCTGCGAACAAAGACCCTTAGAATGTATGTAACTTTTCTTATAAAATATTACTCATAAGTAGGAGAAAAAAAAGTAGAAATAATTTCTTTGTTCTTTCTCTTCCATCTTGTGCCAAGGTTAGTTGTGTTTGTAGGCAGCTCCATGGCCATATATAAACCTTGCATTTCCTTCTGTGTAAACATGAGTCTCATTATCCAACCTGAAAAAAATATCACCGGGATTAGCACGCAATTTAGACAGAATCAGAAGAGAAAAATACGATTAGCCATACGAATTTCGAACAGCTTTGCTCAAGGTAGATGCTGATGTGAATGTTTTGCCATCAATATATCTACTCTCCCCTTCGATCCTCTGTTTGATTCTCAGGTCTAATTCATCAGCATTCAGCATCAATGGGAAATCTGATGCCTGTCGAGCGATTTTTGTTATTCCCAATTTATTGAACAAGAATGTAATATTAAGTACTTATTTTCTTAGTCGTTTTGAGCAAAACTTATAGTTTACCATGATCCATCCCCATGTGTCAGCATATGAAGGAATGTGAGCTGAATAAGGCACAACGTCTGCAAAAACATCCGTTCATGACAATACGATACGCTCGACTAGATAGTAGTGGACAAAATTAAGGTTGCATGTCAAACGTGTTATGAACTTACAGGAGAAAACCTGCCTCAGAGTGTTGTAGATGCAAGAAAACACTTCTGTGTGGCTGAAGATTCCGGCTGGTCCTGCCTGTAAAACATAACCCGAAACTTTTCTGCCTGGCATCTAACAAAAATGCATAGATGTACATATATTTCTATAAAAAATACCTGTGTGACAAAAATGCCACCCTTATTGAGCCTTGGTTTAACTGTGAATTCATAGAAGGATTTGGTGTAGAGTTGGTAGCAGGGGCCACCTTCTATTGGATCTGCTAAGTCTCCTATGATCACATCATAGAGTTCTTCTCTTTGTTCAAGCTCAGCCCTAAGTCACACCCAAGATTCATTAACTAACTTCTAGTGACTACAGCAATATTTTGAAAACCGAATCAAACGGACCGGTTCAACTAAAAAATCGAAAATCGACCCATAGGTTGGATTTCAAAACAGAATTAATCTATATGTCTAGAGGGTCAGTTCACAGAAGGCTTACCGACCCTCACATGAGGTGGGTCCCGATGCGGGACCCGCTTGATTAAAAATTGGTTCAAATTTGTCCCGCCCCCTCCTTGTGTGTGATCTGTGGGGCTTCTGTGAAGCCCCACTTTTGTAACCCAAGCAACACTCTTCAAAACATTGGTTGATAGAGTTAAGAAAAATGAAACCTTGCATCATTGATGATGAGCTTTAGTCTAGGGTCACAAAAAGCTTCTCTATTAACCGTCAAGTATGATTTACAGAACTCGACCACTTCCTGCATCATCAGTTGTACAGAATTAAGCCACCATTTGGATATACATTTCATGCAGCTTACTACTATTCCTCTTACAACCATTTTTAAATTTTCCAAGTGGAAGTAAATTAGCATTTTCTAATAAAAGAAAATTGGTTTTAAGGTTTTGTACCTGATCAATGTCACACATGACAAGCTTCTGCACTGTCTTGTGTCTAAGTATTTCTCTTGCGGTGGATCCTTCACCTCCCCCCATAATAAATATTGTTTTCGGACTGAAAATCGATGCATGGGCATTACAAACGAAAAATGGGACACGTTTACAAATTTCAACTAATAAACTGTATTATGAGAAGGGGGAAAGTACTTGGGATGAGTAAGAAGTGGTGGATGGACAAGAGATTCATGATAGACAAATTCATCAATCTCTGCACTTTGAAGCTTTCCATCAATCACTAGAGCCTGTTTTTATTAACAATCAAAGTTGGATCACATTTTTGTTGTTGAAAAAAACATGTCACTTAACTATTATCCCTAATTTAAAAGCCCCACCCCACCCCACCACACCCCACCATAAGTAAGAAGACAAATGAACCTTCCCAAAAGGCTTTGTATCCAAAAGTTGAATGTCCTGGTACTGACTGGCACCTGTATGCAAAATACTGCAGCAAAAACAATAAACAAAATGATGCAATTAGTGCACTTGGCAATTAAACAAAGGTTGGCTATCTTGTCTGAATTTTTCAAACACAAGATCACGGAAAAGTAGTACAGAAGCTTCAAGTGCATATTTGATATAGGCCAGGGATGTAGCTAGGATTTCAATCTTGGAGGGGTGAAAATACGGAGGATGGAGGGGGGCCCGCCCCCCTCCCCCGGGGTTCGGGGGCGGAGCATATACCTATTTAGAGCAACAACATTGCCTAAATAGCATATACCTATTTAGAGCAAAGCACCATCTCAAGTTCTCTTCAATCTCTTCTTCATACCAACAGCTCTTTCTTTGGAATCCCACTGCATTCCCATTCCCATTACTCATGCCATTAGAGAAAGAAATGTCACCCATTTTCTGCCTTAGAATTCTTCGAGGGAGAGTTCTATAGATATAGATAATAGATAGAAGGAAAGAAAGATATATATAGAGAGAGTGTGAGAAGACAAGTGAGGGTCAGCAGGCAGAGAAATCGAAGAGGACTATGATTTAGGTTGGGTATGGATATCACAAATTAAGTGGGAGTCTTAATTGCAGCAAAATAAAGAAATGCATGCAATCATCATGGATTTTTGCAAACCTTATCTAAGGATGGTATAAAAGTGAAAAGATCGTCTAAGGTTGATTTTTTATTCTTGTCAATACATAAAATACATGCATGGTATGTTTGTACATGTGACGGAATATTAGGTAATTTTTTTGGGCCGGTCATGGGTGACGAGAGATTAGGACTCCAACACTCCGGTTAGCACACATTCTCTAGTCTCCGAGTTATAGAGCCACCCTGTATCGAGTAGATCTGTTTCCATAAGTACCTTGAACGCATTCACATATAAGTTTCTATCAACCAAGAATTACAGTAATTCTGTGACAATCCCCAATCCTTTAGAATGGGACATGCTTAATGGATACATAAGCAAGATCAATTATTTAGTGTACAAATTAATTTATATCAACCAAGAATCTTGATAGTAATTTGCTCATGAAAATTTTCGCCGAGAAAAAGTGACTTGATTTACCTGACTAATAATATATTAGCTAACTTTGTACCAGTAGTCACGATATGACAAATGATATAAGAGTTATCCAGAATGATTGAGAGTGCACGTTTTTTATGAGTTCAATTTAAATTCATCTGAACGCTTGAATTTGTCTGCGCCAATGTGTTAAAACTCATTTATGTCAAAAAGCATGAGTTTAAGTAAATAAATTAGGAGTTTTGATGTCTAGTAAAAATTACCTTTTAACATCACACATACTATAAACAATATTCAGAAAAACGAAAGGATAAAAGATGATGATTGAGAGAGTGACAAGTACAGAAAATTAGGGTTCATACTTTTAAACTTTGTTCAGAAACTTGTGCAAATCTTGGTTAAAAGGAGAGGAGCGTGCAGTGGAATCATCATTCATATTCTGTTTGGTAGAAAGATCAAATATGGCGTGCCAAACCAAGAGCACTCATCATCACCATCACCATCACAAAATCAATTCTTTCAACAAATAAAGATTTCAAAATTAAGTATATGGAGCCTCCATTTGACAGCCAATTTGTAAATGATTTATAAATTAAATCAAGTTAAAACATTAATTTAACCATATATGTATAACTATTACTCTTTTAATATTCACAAATTTCGTATGTAGGATCCATTACTGATCCTCGAATGATTTATAAATTTGCCAAAGGCAAAATATTTCCCTGTCACATGCCTACGATGGTTTTTGTGTTTGATAGGCCTAATGTCACTTGATGATCTACCTCTTGCCACCACTTTTTTGGAACTATTGGGTCCCTTAAAAATGGTTTCAACTTGTGATATCATATTTGCATCAGCACGATCTAACCTTGTCGGAAAAACAAGAAACTTGAAAAGAGTAATACCATTTAATACCACTGATATTTAACACAAATCTAGATGACAATACTAACGACACCTAGATTGGTGTTCACACCACTTAAGCTAGATAGGATTATTCAATTGAAAATGTCATAAATATCATCATAGAGTATGATCCGATCATCGTGAACAGAAGGTATGGTACACGAAAGAATACAATCAACTCAATTGTCAACATTGGGAACAGAATTAGCAGATAAAGGTATTCCATGGGATACTTCATTTCCATTACGACATAAAATGCAGCACAACCACACCCTATTTCTTGAAAAAAAGCTACAAAATCTATAACAAATTTAGTAATGATATTATCTAATCAAGATGATCTCCCCTCTATATGGTAATTGTATCCTCAATAAAATTGATATTTTTAATAAAAATCAGTTCCTCTATGCTTCCCGTCTAGCATTTTCTAATGAAGTAAAACCATGTATAAATCTTGTTTCTAATTTTTATTATTTCATCAATCTCCCATACGCAAAAAATGGTTTCAAAGTACATTTCCTTAACATAAAGTTAAACTGATGTCCAGTCATTCAACCCAAGCATTGCATTCACGATGAAATGTGAATCGTCCAGCATCCGATTGTTAACATGGCAGAAATAAAATTAGAGTTTTGCTTCATTTCAACACATCATACACTTCATAGCAAAAGACAAAGTATGACATTACCAATAAGCAAGAAAATCCATAAACAAACAGAACTGTCTCAATAGCTAAGACAGAGTATCGTTGATGTGCAAGAAATTCCAGAAGCAAGGTTTTATTAAAAAAAAAAAAGGACGACAGTTATCATATCAAAACAGGAAGTTCCCCAAACAACTTCAGATAAAAGCACAGCAAAATCTTGAAACAAATGATTTTATTGGGTGTAATTCATGATGTAATATCATGTGATCTTAACTGAATTTTCTGAGTACGAAAAGCAGATTTGTTGGTGGTCATTTGAAACAAGTACAAGATGGAATAGCTAGTGAAACACATTTTACATCCCTCATTAAAGGCTACAAAAAATAATTAGGTAGTAATGTAGCGAGGGAAAAACTATTAAAAACGAATCGTATAGATGGGTCTTTACTTCCCGTCTCAAATTCATAAACTATGCCAGCAAAACTGAATGATCCCTTGGTTTCAATCGTGTCTATCTAGGAACTTCTCTATCAGGACTGAAAATGCAGCAAAACCAGCACAACCAGCACATGCTGCTTTTGGACCCCCTGAAGAAACCCCAAGATAAATTCATTTAAGCAATATTCAAATGGAGAACATCACAATCAGAAAATCTGAATTATGCAAATAACATCAAGCAACAATTTGAAAACTTAAAATGCTACACAATATATCAATTATCTTGCCACATCAATAAATATAACATAAGATACCCTTCCTAATACATACAGAACTAAATCCAAGTAAATTTTCCTTCAAGCTAATATTTTTACTTCTAGAATCATCCCGAATAACTTCGAGCTTTGCACATCTGCTTAAACAATACGAGAAATATTGCTTCAAAAGTAGTTGGAAGTTCAACGACAACAAACCAAGAATTTAAGGTCGGTTACATAAATCCTTTTTTGTTCATGATATAAAGCATCTAGGTCCTTATAATGTCATATTAGTTTTAAACAACCTCTCATTCTTTTAACACATTCTTACTAAGACCACATCATCATTATTATAAATGAGAGATTCTTCAAGGCTAGGCAATTCATATCTCACCCACTCAAGTCAAGATTCCCTCATCCTCAATTAGAGCCACCTTTTCTCGGTGGTGTGCATTCTCGTTTACTATCTTGTTCATTCTAGTACGACTACTAATCCATCTTGACATCCTCGGTCCTGCTCTATTAATCTTTGGGATTTTTTGTTGTATTAAAACGGGTTCGAAAATGCCACAGAAGGAAGTCAGCACCAACAAACTCTCCAGTGTCCATTGGATATTCTGTATGACACGGACTGAAATGTTCACAACACTATATCCAGCACATTTAAGCTATAAATTAAATGCACTAGATTGTGAATAACCCACCAGTTTTTCTATTACCTCGAGAGCAACTATTTAAAATTCTAAACTAACTTGCTATGTCATGCAATATTGAACATTTAGCACCTGTTTGTCCTGCATTATTTCTCAAATTGTAGAAGAAAATGAACCGTTTAAAGGCCCCACATGGCAGCTTTGGTTGACTTCTCTCTCACATTGGCTTCGACGTGTGTGGTCCAACGGTAATAATTTTCATTGTTTTGCTAGAATAAGGCTGGACAAACAGGGGCATATATTATAAAATTAAAATTAAAAATCACAAACTCAAATGAAAATAGTTTTGATCACTTTCAATTGTAGGGTCAAACGTCGGATAACACTTTACATCAGGATATAACTAGTTGAAAATTCCACAGGATCAGTAGCTTAAGTTTCTAGATATGTAATTGGCTATTTATCGTGCCAGATTGTTCATTTCCCATTAGAACCATTGTACTACAAACATTTATCTTCTCCAAATGTCTTATTATCAATATAAGAATAATCTTCTATCATAATAAAATAGCAAGCTTGAAATTTATAGAACCGAATTTCAATATGCGAAGTTGCATTACCAAGTTTATCCGGAGATCGACGATGGTGACAAAACTGAGGGATATGCTTATTTAAAACTCATACTCTCACACGGAATAAAGATATTTGAATACAAAAAAAATACTTCGAATGTTTTTTTTTTATGTACGACCAAATGAGAAAATAGGGATTTAGAATGTATAGACCCCATAGGGACTTGCATAGAGGAAGGGAACGAAAAGAAAAGACAAAGGGATGAAATTTTAGCTGCAAATAAAAAAGGGAGGATATGGAAGTCATCAAGTCAATAATTCATATTAAAAAGTTTAAACTATATCTCCGACGTCGTCAAATTTGAGCTTTATATCAGTAATAGGTAATTGTAAACAAATTTGATTCAGTTCTCCCTTCTCGTTTAAATTCACGAACCAGACCCCCAGAGAGATACCATTTTAAAAATTCAAATAGAATAATCAAGAATTGCAGGGAGGCAAATAAGTGACTATGAACAAGACTAACATGGCATTCTAGGACAAAAATCTACATACAATGACATATTGAACCCCAAAAAACAAATGGAAGAAGGAATTTGTATGACCATATAACAAGGTTACCTCTAGCAGATATTGTGCCTCCTGTTACACATCCCGCAACAACTGTATTTGTGATATCATGCTTGGCCCGGGCCTTCAAATAAATTACCCATGGTCATCCTTTCTAGAAATTTTTCATGGAAATAAAAAAACCTATCCAATTTCAACTTAGTGTTCCTCATAAAGTAATGTACATACCTTCTCAATGACACATTCTGCAGCAGAGAAGATAAAACCCATAACAGCAAAGGTTTTGCAGGAATTCCAGCTCCTTCGACCCATCTGCTTTGCAGTGTATATAAACTGCTGCCTTCCAGTCATTTCATCTTGCATTATTGGATTATCCAGTGCCCCGAGAAACAGGCCCATAAACAACCCCAACCCACCTCCTACAAAGTAGCATTGGGTTAAAAGATCAAAAACAAATTTTTTTAAAAAAGAGTAAGATTTCTAAAAGTACCCATGGCTCCACTAACAACGCTGCGAACGGCACAATTGTTCCAAATGTCCTGACCCCGTATTTCCTCAACTGTGGGTAAGCAAATCCTTTCAATTTGTGGTTTTGGTGCATCTTGTGAACTTGAAGAAGCACTCTGCGATTCATTGTCTGGATTGGTACTCATGCTAGTGATCTGTTTGAAAGTAGCCTATTAAATTTGTTGATGGAAATATTATTCCGATAGACCTTCAAATTGATATTCTGTTATATAGAAATATCGAGCTCGCTATTGTTACTGATATAAGAGATTGTAACTTTGTTTGGCATCATTATTTTAGAGGAGATATATAAAGCTCTCTACGCATGTTCTGAATAGTGTGGTGTGCAACACTATTGGTTGAAGACGGTAACTTGACAAATAGTCGAATACCTGAAGTGCATAAAACTAATTCCACACAAAAGAGCACCTTAAAAATGACAATTGTACACGTCCAATGGCTACAAATGATTAAAACTAAATTGACCTTAGACAACAAGGCAGTACTCATCAACAAGAAAGACCTCAGATCAAAAATACCTCATATTAATTAAGAAAGTATAACATTGTCACTATCGTTGAAACAAAAATCAATTGTATAAAACAAATTGTATTTTGAGTGAATTTCAGATAAAAAAAAAAACAGTTGTGAATCAAATAAACACAGAAAAAAGAAATACCTTGAGTCTCCGACAGCAGAGCACCCTGGGCTATGGGCTTAGAGAAAGTTAGGGTTTTGGCCCGTATATAAGCCTTCAAAATTGATTACTTTAACTTTCCCCTTACCTCTTTCTAGAGCAAGTCCGAGC